ATACATATCCCCAAAACTTCCTCTCAGATCCAAGACTCCCAAAGCCCAAATTTGGAAATTCTACAACTAAATAACCATTCTGCAGGTTTCTTTTCCGTACGGCTTCACTTTAAAATTTGAAAACTCCTGAGATTTTTAAACATATTAAAGCTTGTCACACTAAGGAGTGACACACAATACTCAGACTCTTCTTCCCTAGGCTGGGAGAGAGTTGGCGGTTGAAAGCAGGGAGGGGCTACAGGCGAGAAAGGGCTGAACCCCCGCTTCCGAAGATTTCACCTATTTTTCAGTTTGCCTGGAGCAGGCCATGCAGATTCCCTTCCCTTGGAGGCCCAGGAGCGGCTGGTAGATCGCTGATTCTCTGCCCCTCACCGCTTCTGCAAGCGGGTGAAGGACACCTTTCGTACCCCGCACTCTCGGCCCGCCCCTTAACCTTTCTTCCTAGTCACTTCCGGCCCGTTTCCACGCTCCGGAAACCATTATTCCGCTTCATCCTCCCTCCAGTCCTCACCTGAGTCCCTTTCTCCAAACACCGACTTTAGTGCTTAGCGATAGTAACTAGGGAATCTGGGAGGCGGAACTGCATCTTGGGACAAGTAGTCCAAGGTAGAAGAAAGCAGAGGAGAACTACAATTCCCAGAATACACCTCCATTTCCTACCTCTTCCCCAATGAGGCCCCCCTCGACCCACCTCCTTTTAAAAATTCTCTTAGCCACGTTGACTGCACGGGAAAAACCTTTTTAAAACATTTTTTACGTTGCTTAAACCTACCATTTCGAAAGCATTCCGAAGGCTAAAGTGAGAAATAAGCCCCGGTTAGGGAGAGGAGAAACGAGTTTCACGTCCTGGTCTAGCACCGGGTTGGATTGTCGCTGGGATGGCAGTCAGGCATTTGGTGTGGTCGCCTAAGGGGTGGGTCTTTCGGCTGGGGCGCCGGGAAACCCCGTGGGCCTGCGCGGCGTTCTTCCTTTCCGATCCGCCATCTGCGGTGAGTGTATGCTCTTCGGCTGCTCTGGGGCTAGCGCCGTATGCCGCCTTCTGTTGTGATCCCTGACCTATCCCATCTCTTCCTTTTCCCCAACCTCAGGTGGAGCCGCCACCAAAATGCAGATTTTCGTGAAAACCCTTACGGGGAAGACCATCACCCTCGAGGTACGGGCCAGGTGGTCATGAGGAAGCCAAGGTCCGAATAAGGTCCTGAGGTGGATTTTAGGACCGGCGCTGCTTTCCATGACTTAGACAATGATTCCGAATTTGGGTTCTAAAACTTAAGCTTTGAAATGAGTATCTTTTGCTGAGCAACGGCCTCAAGGTGATTTTCGGTGGCCAAAGGCGGGCCTCTCACCTCTCGAGGGGTTCCAGCTAGTTAAAACGGAGGAGCTGCGCCGGGTAACTCCCCCCCGCCGGGCGCGAGCACGTGTGGCCCTGTGGCGGCCGCCCGCCCTGGGCTAGGGAGATGAAGGTGCTGCTTTCCGGTAGCAGACTTGGGAGGTTGCCCACTGGGTGGGTAATAGGTCTCTTGAGTAGGTTTCAGCCCTGTCGCCGGTTCGGTTCAGTGGTAATTGTCAAACTAAATGAGTTCTGCTGTAGTTCCGTAATGTGTAAGCAACATACTTTCATTTTAACATTCATAGGTTGAACCCTCGGATACGATAGAAAATGTAAAGGCCAAGATCCAGGATAAGGAAGGCAAGTAATATTTTGTAGTTAAGAAAACTTAACCTGTGGAGACTTCAGCCTACTTGTAGGTGCTAGACATATCTGCTCATGGTGAGGGGGGGAAGGGCAGATTGACAAAGCAAAATACTTGGGGAATAACACAATAAATGTTTGTGATCGGGGAGCACAGTCCCTAGATTGGAATCCTTAAGGTGTATTTCACTTGTGTGAATTTGGACACTTACTTAGTGTGAGATGGGAGTCTCCTCTGTTGCCCAGGCTGGAGTGCATTGGCTCGTCCCGGCTCACTGCAGCCTCCGCCTCCCGGGTTCAAGTGATTCTTGTGCTTCAACCTCCCTAGTAATGGGGATTACAGGCGTGCAGCACCACGCCCGGCCAATTTATTGTATTTTTAGTAGAGACTGCGTTTCACCATATTGACCAGGCTGGTCTGGAACTCCTGACCTCAAGTGATCCCCCCACCTCGGCCTCCCAAAGTGTTGGCATTACAGGCGTGAGCCACTGCAGACAGCCCAGTATTGTCCCTAAGATTAAATGCAGTAAAATGTGATGTGTAAAGATTTAGAACCATGCCTAACCTCTAGTAAGGGCTTATGGTCAGCTGTTAATACCATGTATTTAATTAAGGCGTGTTACCTTATAAATCTGGAGCACATGACAGGCTTCGTGTGCTGTGACTTCTTGTTTTTTTCTTATCAGGAATTCCTCCTGATCAGCAAAGACTGATCTTTGCTGGCAAGCAACTGGAAGATGGACGTACTTTGTCTGACTACAATATTCAAAAGGTCTGTCTAGGGGAAGAGCAGCCTCTTAAAAAAATGTTATTTTGGAAATTTTTAATTTTACTTTTTTTGAGACAGGCTCTGACTTTGGCACAGTCACTGCAGCCTCCATCTCTCAGACTCAGGTGGTCCTCTCACCTTAGCCTTCTGTAGTTGGACCTATAGGCACACACCACCATGCCCAGGCTGGTCTCAAACTCCTGGGCTTAAGTGATCTTCCCACCGTGGCCTCCCAGCCCTAGGATTACAGACGTGAGCCACTCCATGTGGTGTATTTTGGACATTTTGACACGCAAAAGGGGAGAATGGCATTAGATTAGCAGTAGATTTTTAGGTAACTCCTATACTGATACTTGAGAAGCGCTACTGTAGTTTTTCCCATTATGAATTTTGCAAGTTGCATCCCATGGTGTAATGTAATGCATTCTTTAATCTCCCTATAAACCGTTAAGAATCAGATACTTTATTGGGATGGGGGCAGCAGGATTACCTCATAAATGTTACTGTGTACTGCTACTGCTTTTAACTAAGAGATGCATAATGTTGGGTGTGCCCATTCTTAGTGGAATCATGAAAGCTTACATCATTCTTCCATTAACAGGAGTCTACTCTTCATCTTGTGTTGAGACTTCGTGGTGGTGCTAAGAAAAGGAAGAAGAAGTCTTACACCACTCCCAAGAAGAATAAGCACAAGAGAAAGAAGGTTAAGCTGGCTGTCCTGAAATATTATAAGGTGAGCCAGTTAAAGTGATGGGCAGAATGTCAGCAAAGTCTTGGCCTATTTGGAAAACTTTATAGTAACTTGTCAGTATTTTCTTGGACTTAAGTATCCAGTATTACCCCACTTTGGTTTAAATGAGGTATTCTGGAAATGAGAAATTCAGACTTCGTGGGGTTTTTCCTGTTTGGTTTTTGAAATCACTTATGTAATAGGGTTCTGAGTTTAAAGTCGGGTCTGGGTTCAGGTCTTTGTCTACGACTTGCAAAGCTGGCCTTTAGTGTTCAGAAGTCCCAAGACTAATGAATCTTTTCATTGTACTAATAATAACTGGTGAGAATTTAGGGTGCTTTGGTTTGTAAGCACGAAAACTACCAGTATTACATAGTAAAAACTTACTTTGAGTCACTTAAATTAGACTTCAGAATGTGTTGTAAAATTATCTTACAGCAGGTTTGTACTTTTCAGGTGGATGAGAATGGCAAAATTAGTCGCCTTCGTCGAGAGTGCCCATCTGATGAATGTGGTGCTGGGGTGTTCATGGCAAGCCACTTTGACAGACATTATTGTGGCAAATGTTGTCTGACTTACTGCTTCAACAAGCCAGAAGACAAGTAACTGTATGAGTTAATAAAAGACACGAACTAACATTTATTGTTGGATTTCATTGCAGTAAAAAGAACAGTTTTTAAGCACCAAATTGATGGTCACACCATTTCCTTTATTAGTGCTACTGCTATCACTGTATGAATGTTGCTTCTGGGGATTGTGTGACCCAGTGGTTCTGTATACCTGCCAGGTGCCAACCACTTGTAAAGGTCTTGATATTTTCAATTCATAGTAACTTCTTAGAATACCTATACTTTGGCAGAAGTTATACAAGCCAGTTTTTGTTTCTGTCCATCTTGACCTCAACACAATAGACATTTGGGGCCAGGTAAGTCTTTGTTGTGGGGTCTGTCATGTGATGAGCAGCATCCTTTCCCTTTACCCATTCAGTGGCCAGTAGTGCCTATCTCTTGTCTTTGAGAATCACGGTTTGTGTAGGTATTAAGACCTTGGCTTAAAAGAGACCTTGGCTAAGCATACTTCTGTTAAAGGCTAAAGTTGCCAACTCAAAAATGGATACTGGCTGGGAGTGGTGGCTCAAGCCTGCAATCCCTACACTTTGGGAGGATCACTTTGTGTCCACGAGTTCGGACCGGCCTGGGCACCATAGCAAGACCCTGATCTCTGCAAAAAAACCCATAGGCTGACTCCTATGGTCCTGCCTACTGGGGAGGGTGAGACAAAAGGATCCCTTAAGCCCAGGAGCTGTAATCATGCATTGCACTTCGGCCTGGACAAGACCTGTTTCAAAAAAAAAAAGAAAATGCATCCGCAGTCTCTGGGTGGTTTCAGTGGAATGTTTGCTGTCTGTCGTACAACTCTTGGGAATTTAATGTTTGTTCAGGATGGATCCCTATAAAGGAATGATTACTTATTTGTACTGTTAACACTAAAAGACAGTTTAGTTTCAAGCAGGACTTGCGTAGCATATCTTCCTTTGGAGCTCAATTCAGGGAAAGCTGGTTCACTTGATAAGCCTCTTAACTAAAGCATCCACTTTAAAGAAATCAGTGATGTTTAAGTAATTAACAATTACCTTTTACCATATTGCCAGTCTTTCCATTAAAGGATTTCTAGCTGGAGGCATCCTTAAATAAGATTTCCTATTTCTGAGCACTTCTGACAGTTTGTGCACATGAACACATGGTAGAACAACTTAGATACTTTTTGGCCAGTAGTAGTGCATTTCTACCTTCAAAAAAGCAACACGTTGAGTTATTTACATTTTTAATGTATTTTAAAATCCTGGATCCCAAGAAGTCTTGGCTTGAATTTGTTTTTCTTCGTAACAAACAATTCTATCTCCCACTTTAAATTCCATATTTTCTTCATCTAAACTGAGACCACAATCCATTCCCGTTTTGACAATTGAAATGTCATCTTTATGGTGTTTCAGTGAGGTTAATGAACCTTAAAAAGATATAATTTGAGGTTAGTATATTCAATAAATGATAAGTACCTACTAAATACTACATTATATGGTGTTACCAGGAAATTACACTGAAATTCTTAAAAATTGCATGGTCCTGTCATGTTCAATAATGGGACTAAATACCAGGGGAACCCCCTGAAAAATGAAGTTTGCTGTAACTAAGACTTAAATTTGTAGCAAAATACCCTAATTCTCCTATTTCAAAGGTAGACACAAACTTTTTGCTGAGGATAGGATGGTACTTACCTGAGATATAAAACCAACATACATCTCAAGCAAAGGGAACCGATCAACTCCAGACAATTTAGGAGTTACAACAGCAATAAGAAATGGCCTGAGCTGAGATTATGGACGTGAAAGATGAACAGATTTCAGATGGTTATGTAGTCAACAGGTTTTGGTGACTGGATATAGGAGATTTTGATGTTGCTTACCCTTCCAAATTACATGTCCATCACGGGTTAATTTAAATTTTTTCTGTTTTTCTAACTGTCCCTTTTGGACTCTGCAGCCAGCCACAGGAACTTTTTTCTTCCCTTCTGTTATAGAGAAGGTAGCTAGTATAGATGCCTCACCTTTAGGAAGAAGAGAACATTAATGTGCAGAAAACTAAAGATTCTGAGATAATGCAATTTCTGACATTCTGTGGTATAAGAATTAAAGGTATGACAAAAATCCAAATTCATGCCTAGAAAAAAGTCTAGGTTTAACTCCAATTTTATTTTCCTGACCAATATTAAGAATAAAAATGCATGAAAATCTTTGGCTATTCCTTTTTTTTTTTTTTTTTTTGAGACAATCTCACTCTGTCATCCAGGCATGATCTTGACTCACTGCAACCTCCACCTCCGGGGTTCAAGTGTTTCTCCTGCCTCAGCCTCCCAAGTAGCTGGAATTACAGGCGCCCACAACCACATACAGCCGATTTTTATATTTTTGGTAGAGACAGGGTTTTACCATGTTGGCCAGGTTGGTCTCAAACTCCTGACCTCAAGTGATCCACCCGCCTCGGACTCTCAAAGTGCTGAAATTACAGGCGTGAGCCACTGTACCCAGCCATCTTTGCCTATTCTTGTCTGCTCCATGAAAACGTTGTTTTAAGCTTTCCTTCAATATATTTTCAAGAGTAGATCATCTGTCATTACTTTATTTCTCTTTTATCTTTTTAAAAAAATTTTTACAGATGGGTCGCCCAGGCTGGAGTGCAGTGGCATGATCATATCTCACTGTAACCTCAAGCTCCTGGGCTCAAGCAATTCTCCTGGGCTCAAGCAATTCTCCTGGATAGCTAAGACTACAGGCACCACCATACCCAACTAATTATTTTATTTTTACCTTTTTTTTTGTGGAGGCTGGTCTTGAATTCTTGGCCTCACGTGATGCTCCTACCTCAGCCTCCCAAAGTCCTGGGATGACACACGTGAGCCACTGCACCTGGTCTCATTATTTTTCATTTTGCCACAGGTAATTTATATCTACTTAGAAGTACTAATTGAGTCTTTTTTTTTTCTTCTTTTTTTTGAGATGGAGTTTCGCTCTTGTTGCCCAGGCTGGAGTGCAATGGTGCAATCTTGGCTCACCGCAACCTCTGCCTCCCGGGTTCAAGTGATTCTCCTGCCTCAGTCTCCCAAGTAGCTGGGATTACAGGCATGCGCCACCACACCTGGCTAATTTTGTATTTTTAATAAAGACGGGGTTTCACCATGTTGGGCAGACTGGTCTCAAACTCCCAACCGCAGGTGATCCGCACGTCTCGACCTCCCAAAGTGCTGGGATTATAGGCATGAGCCACCACGCCTGGCTGAGTCTGTTTTTTTTACTGACTAAAAATTAATACAAATTCCAATAATGAAGTAACACACACTATAATGAACCAGTTTTCTAGGGAGCTATTTTACTGGTGGTGGTAGTGTTATCTGACTGGTGTGTTTGCTTAATCCTAGAAACCCTCATGACTTATTGTTCCAAATTGCTCTTAGCACAAGAACATAAAAATCTGTACGATCATGTTGAGCAGGTCAGAAAAACCTAAAATAATAAATCTGTTATGTAGATTAAAAATACAAAATCAAATCTCATGGGGAAACACTGGACAAATCCAAATCAGGGTACATTCTACAAAACAGCTGGCCAATACGCTTCAAAAATGTCAAGGTCAAAAAAGACAAATTGAAGAACTGTTCCAGATTAAATGGAGCCAGAGAGATATGACAACATGGATATATTATAATCCATGATCCTGGACTGGGAAAAAAAAGTACATTGTTGGGACAGTGGACAAAATGTGAATATGGACTGTGTATTAGATAACTGCATTGTATAAATAAACGTTAAGTTTCTTGAGTTTGATTAGTTCTATGGTTTTATAAGATAGTATCTTTTGCTTAGCAGATGTACATATTTAGAGGCAAATAGGCATTATATCTCAAACATTTTCAAATGGTCCAGGGAAAAAAAATCCGTGTGTATGGAGCAGGACAAAAATGAGGCAAATAGGACAAAATGTAAACAACTGGTGAATTAGGTAAAAGATATATAGGAGTTCCTTGTATTTTTCTTGCAATTTATCTGTAAATTTAAAACTATTATCAAAATTAAAAGTTAACCAAAAAAAAAATCTACCTGGGGAGGGAAAAAAAACAGATGAAGTAATTTAATCAATTTTAAATAAACTCAGTCTACTCTGGCTGATATATGCTAGAAATAGTATTTTTAAATATTTAATATTTCAATGTAAATTTTCTTCTTATGGTAGACTTCTCTGCCAGCCCTACAACAAGGTCAACAGCTCTTTCCATGACACTGTTAATAATCTTTATGCATTCAATAGTAGTATAATTTGTATTATAATTATTTGTTCATATCTAAACTGGAGGGCAAGTTCTTAATTCCTTATTTGCTTTTGTATCCTCAAGGCATAGGCACAATGTGTTACACAGGGCAGGTGTTTACATAAGAAGTTACAATGAATTCTCATGGTAGTCTTTTTTTTCTAGAACACAGGATATATCTTTCAACATTGAAAACATTTCCTCTAAGCTCTGAAGTGCTATTTATAGCACCTACTATACTAATTTTTAAAAGTAACACTCAGTGATCACTCACCTACTGGGTGCTCTTCCACAGCACAGGGTAATCTGCTGCTCAGTTCCTCTTGCAAATCTTCAACAAGACGGTAAATTATTTTGTGAAGTTTCATTTTTACACCTTTTTTTGCAGCTGACTCTTGGATAACTTTGCCTACATTCACATTAAAGCCATATATAACACCTAGCAAACAGAAATATGATGAATGAAGTAGCACAAAGATTACATTATAATCATTTATTTGTCTTTCAAGCAGAAACTTGAATCTAAATTGTTTTATTTTCTAAATTAAAATAGCAAATAAGAGGCCGGGTGCCGTGGCTCACGCCTGTAATTCTATCACTTTGGGAAGCTCAGGCAAGTGGATCACCTGAAGTCAGGAGTTCGACACCAGCCTGGCCAACATGGTGAAACCCCGTCTCTACTAAAAATACAAAATTAGCCGGGCATGGTGGTGGGCACCTGTAATTCCAGCTACTCGGGGGGCTGAGGCAGGAGAATCGCTTGAACCCGGGAGGCAGAGGTTGCAGTGAGCTGAGATCGCGCCATTGCACTCCAGCCTCGGCAAATAGAGCAAAACTCTGTCTCAAAAAAAAAAAAAAAATAGCAATTAGAGGAGGTTAGAAGGTCTATGATTTTTTTCTCACCAAAACTAGTAAATTTTCCAATTGATGAAAGAATTTTATAAATTGTATTGTGGCTTGTTTAACAAAATTTCTTTATAATTTCAAATCCATTCATTTAAGGACCATTAAGTGCCTATAACGTGTAAAGCAGTATGCTAAACAAAATTTGGCTTTTATACCAGAGAAATAAAAACACAAAAAATGACCAGGGCTAAAATATTATCGCTTCATTTTAATAACACTACATTATTAAATTATTATCTTATTGTCTACAATTTTTGTGGTTTGCACTTAGGTATTCAGACGGCCAAAAGATGCCCAAAAATAGTGACTTAAAGGGGTGGAGGGAAAAATAGTGACTTAATTGGTAAGGGTCAAGAGTTATTTTTAAGAAGCAAGTTTCATGGAGCTGACCATTGCACCAAAAAACAAATAATGTATTTAACTGTAAATACTTTGGGAGAAAAAAAAGCAAAACACTCTTGTCTTAAAAAAAGATGAATGAAAAAAATTAACCTGGACGGGCATGGTGGCTCATGCCTGTAATCCCAGCACTTTGGGAGGCCGAGGCGGGTGGATCACTGGAGGTTGGTAGTTTGAGACCAGCCTGACCAACATGGTGAAACCCTGTCTCTACTAAAAATACAAAAATTAGCTAGGCATGGTGGCAGACGCCTGTAATTGCAGCTACTCAGGAAACTAAGGCAGGAGAATCTCTTAAACCCAGAAGGCGGTGGGTGTGGTGAGCCCAGATTGCACCATTGCACTCCAGCCTGGGCAACAGTGAGACTTTATCTAAAAAAAAATTAACCCAAAAAGTAAGAAAAAAAAAAAAGCTTGTCTTAAAAAAAAGCTTTGTTTAAGACACTCTTGTCTTAAACAAAATGAATGAAAAAAAATTAACCCACACAGTTTAATATGGAGAAAAATACAATCACCTTGAAACTCCTATCATTAAGAAGTCATTCTGGCCGGGCGCAGTGGCTCAAGCCTATAATCCCAGGACTTTGGGAGGCCGAGGTGGGCGGATCACCTGAGGTCAGGAGTTTGAGACGAAACTGGCCAACATGATGAAACCTCATCTACACTAAAAATATAAGAATTAGACAGGTGTGGTGGTGGGTGCCTATAATCCCAGCTACTCGGGAGACTGGGGCAGGAGAATCACTTGAACCGAGGAGGCAGAGGTGGCAGTGAGCCAAGATTGCACCATTGCATTCCAGCCTGGTTGACAAAAGCAAAACTCCATCTCAAGAAAAAGAGCTCATTCAATTGGCTGGGCACAATGGCTCATGCCTATAATTCCAGCACTTTGGGAGGCCAAGGCAGGTGGACCACCTAGGTCAGGAGTTCAAGACCAGCCTGGCCAACATGGTGAAACCCTGTCTCTACTAAAAATACAAAATTAGCCAGGTATAGTGGTGCATGCCTGTAATCCCAGTTACTCAGTGGGGGCTGTGGCAGGAGAATCCCTTGAACAAGGGAGACAGAGGTTGCAGTGAGCCGAGACGATGCCACATGTCAGCCTGGGCGACAGAGTGAGGCTCTGTCTCCAAAAAAAAGAAAAAAAGTCATTTCAATATCATTCAATACACTGTCTATATTACAGCACAGTACTAAGCCAGTCAGTGCCTATGAAATACGTTTAATTAATCAGTTAGATGTCACCTCTACCCTTTTCAGTAGAGGTGACATCTAACTCTAATCAAGTCAGGTTTCAAAGAAATCTCTTTCCTAAATGATTCCTAATAACTCAACAATGTTTTTGCTTTACTAGGTGTTCCACTTATTTAACAGTCATGAGTCCCCCTTTTTGTGTATCATAAATTCAACTAATAAAGACAGTTCCATGCCTTCTAGGCTTATAACGCTAAAAAGACCTTTTGCTCTAAAAAGATATGACATATAAAGTTATCAATTACCAAAGATAGGAAGCCAAAAGTAAAAGATGAAGGAAAGACTGAATAGGGTGATTACAGTGCTAGGAACATTCAGAAGTCTAATGAAAGATATGAGAATCAACCTTGGGATAGTAAAGAACTTGGAGGGAGAGGGGGCAGTAATGGTGCTTTGAAAAAAAAGATAAACGTGACTAGGTCTTGAAATAGTTCCCCAAAATTGCAATACAACCACAACAAATGGAGCTATGGCCACAATACTGCACATCCCATTCAGTTTAAATTGCTAGCTGGGACTGGACTATAGCAGGAAGGGTGATGCTGATGGGAATAAATGTCAGGTGTGACAAGCCAAGCAACAAAAGACAGAAGCAGATGGTTCAGTGTTATTTGGGGAACACAGATTAACAAGAAAAAATGGAATCCTTACCATTAAATGTTTCAGCAAGGTTAACATCATTTGCACTTATATCACCTACTCCAAAATGTACTAATTCTAGTTCACACTCGTGTGAAGCATCATAGGTATCTATAATGTTCAAAATGGCCTCAACAGAACCATCAACATCACCTAAATACAGAAAAAGTTTATAATTGTTGCTTTTAAGAGTTAGACATCAGCAGACATAAAAATGACAATAATCTATTTAAAGCCATGATAGGAATGTCATTTACCACTAAATCCACTTTTATGTAGGCTTAGCATTACATATATCTACTTGACTTAATAGCATATAATGAGCCAAAGGTTCATTTACAACAAAATCAGCAAGAAATATGTTGAATAAGAAAATCTCTCCTAAAATACTGAAATAATTTTCATGTAAATGTAAAGGACCAAACTATGAGAATAGTTAAAATATATATATATATGTATATATATTCAGAGAATGTAATGTAAAATCTTTAAAAAGATACCTTTAATAATCACAGGAAGTACATTTGAATCTCTTTCCATTTCCTGTTTTCGCTTTAAGGATGTTTGTTCTTTTCTTTCTAAATACTGTAGAAGTGATCTCTTCTTCCACTGCACATTGCTATACTTCTCACGGGCTTTCTGATATGCTTCTTGGTGTTCCTTTCGCTTTTCTTCTATTATTTTCATATCCTCTTTACCTTTCTCCTGTTCTTGTTCATACTTCCTCCAGTCAACAACTTCACGTGCCCTTGGCTTTATAGGGGAAAAATGCGTTATTTAATGAAGTAGACAACAATAACTGTTAGATTAAAGCCTTTGTGTTGTCCCCCATTAGGAAATTAGTGTAACTCATGTATGAAACTGCTACTTTTATAAGTTTCAAGAAACATGTAAAATTTTAATTTGAGAGCTTATATAATTGAAATGATTTAAAAATCTTATCCCCCCAAAATTCTATAGTCTAATGCTATAATAGCACAACTTGCGTCCTCACAGCCTCTTATAATCTAGAATTATTTGTTAACATTAATACACATATTTGGTATAACATTGTAAACTGACATTTAAAATCATTATATTACATCCTACATATAGGAATTAAGCTTGATATACCTCAGATTCTACTTCAAGAATTTCTTCTCCTGCAGAAGGAAGGTCTCTCCAGCCTGTAATTCCCACTGGCATGCTGGGATGGGCCTCATGGATTGTTTTTCCATTTTCATCAAACATTAAGCGTACTTTTGCCCAACAATTTCCAGCAACCAGAACACAACCTTTTCTTAAAGTTCCTCTTTGAATTATAGCTGTAGTAACAGGACTAAAATGAAAATAAAAGTATATTTTTAATGTCATAATCAGGATGTAATTGTACTTTAAGTAGAGCAAAGATATCTTTATGAAGTTTAAATTACATAAACGTGTATACACAAGATTAATTCCGCCACTTAACTTCTTAAGCAGTTTTTCATACTATAAAAACATTTCAAAGCTGGGTGCAATGGCACACCTGCAATCCCAGCTATTCAGCGGGCTAAGGCAAGAGGATCACTTGAGCCCCCGAGTTCAAAGTCAGCCTATCAAGACCATTTTAAACAAATTTATTTGCAATAGCCAAGAAGTAGAAGCAACCCAAATGTCCATCAAAAGACAAATGGACATTTCTTCCAAAGAAAATGTGGATTTTACATACAAAGGAATATTATACAGTCTTTAAAAAGAAGGAAATTGGCCAGGTATAGTGGCTCATGGCTGTAATCCCAGCAGCACTTTTGAAGGCCAAGGTGGGTGGACTACTTGAGCTCACGAGTTTGAGACCAGCCTGGGCAACATAGCAGGACCCCATCTCAATTAAAAAAAAAATAGACTGGGTGAAGTGGCTCACACCTGTAATCCCAGCACTTTGGGAGGCCGAGGTGGGTACATCAACTGAGGTCAGGAGTTCGAGACCAGCCTGGCCAACATGGTGAAACCCCATCTCTACTAAAAATACAAAAATTAGCCGAGTGTGGTGGCATGTGCCTACAGTCCCAGCTACTCAGGAGGCTGAGGCAGGAGAGTCACTTGAACCTGGGAGGCAGAGGTTGCACTGAGCCGAGATCACACTACTACACTCCAGCCTGGGTGATAGAGCAAGACTCCATCTCAAAAAAAGAAAAATTAAAAAATAAATACATATTAAATTTTTTTAAAAAAGGAAATCTTTTCACGGGCTACAACATGAATGAAACTCTAGAACATTATACAAAATGAAATAAACCAGTTACAAATGGACACATACTGTATGATTCCACTCATATGAAGTATCTATAGTAGTCACAAAATAAAAACAGAAAACAATGCCAGGCGTAGTGGCTCACGCCTGTAATCCCAACACTTTGGGAGGCTGAGGCGGGTGAACCACCTGAGGTCAGGAGTTCGAGACTGGCCTGGCCAACATGGCGAAAACCCTGTCTCTACCAAAAATACAAAAAGTAGCCAGGCGTGGTGGTGGGTGCCTGTAAATTCCAGCTACCTGGGAGGCTGAGAAAAGAGAATCGCTTGAACCCAGGGAGCAGAGGTTGCAGTGAGCTGAGATCATGGCCACTTCACTCCAGCCTGGGCAACAAGAGCAAAAGTCTGTCTCAAAAATAAATAAATAAAAGAAAAACAGAAAACAGAAAGGTGGTTGCCAAGGGCTCGGGAGAAGGACTAAGGTAATTTTAAAAGGTATAGACTTTCAGTTTTACAAGATAAAATAGTTCAACAGATCTGTTGTACAACAATGTGAATAAACAACAATACTGAACTGTATATTTAAATATGGTTAACATAATAAATGGGATGTTAGGTGTTTCTTACCACAATTTTAAAAAAATAATTTCTTACAAGGTTATGCTAAGAGAAGAAACAGGGAGCAAAGTGTTCTGACAGAATCTTAACCCACTTTCTATCCCAGTCTCCATCAGCTAAGGGATTACTCACAGTTGTTAGAGAGTGTAAAACAATGAGAAAACCTCTCTTGCTGATACGGAGGAAAATTCAAGCACACCACTTCAAAGATCTTTCTGCGTATTATATTAATGGGTAAGGTATAAAGAATTTACAAACCCTAAAATGCAACTATTGGTATTTCATTCAACTATTGGTATTTCATTCTAATTTATGTTATCTGTAAGTATAAAGAATTTACAAACCCTAAAAATGCAACCAGTTATTGGTATTTCATTCTAACTTATGTTATCTGTAAGTATAAAGAATTAAACCCTAAATATTAAAATGCAACTATTGGTATTTCATTCTAATTTATGTTATCTGTAAGACTTTACCAATTCAGTCGAGTCAGTGGGGGAAAAAAATAAAACAAATTGAAATACTTATGTCATCTAAATATGACTACTAGATGTATATGGATAGTTGCTATGGTCTACTGATAATAACCGCATTCTTGTGTTCTTGTGTCAGTACAAACAATAAAATACTTTTTAAAACAAATGCTTTGAAAATATTGTTCATGAACGAACAATAACATGCAACAAGAATACTATATCATCATATAATCAAGTCACAAAAACCACAGAGCAAATTAAAGAGGCAAGCAGTTTAAGAGTCCTACCCTCTTCCTTTGTCTGTGAAAGACTCTATTACTGTTCCTTCCACTGGACCATTGGGATCTGCTTTCAATTCTAATATTTCTGCCAGAGCAATTGTTGCTTCTGCCAAAGCCATCAGATTATTGCCCTTTAACAATAACAAAGGTTGTTAATACACATTAATAAATATTATCAGTAAATATAAATACCAAGGACAGAAAGTCACATAATCCTTGCAGGATATATTATACTTTTCTCTTTAATCATTAAAAGCATGATTACTCAATTTAACAAAGAAAGGAAGGGAGGGAGGGGAAAAGAAAATAAGAAAAAAGAGAATGGGAAGAATGGAAGGGAGGGAGGGATCAGCAAGAAAACCTGAGCCATGGACAGATCTTGCAAGGAATAAGTGGCTATTTTTTTTTAAAGTATGGCCACTGGTGGTACTTGTTACTATCCCTTTCATAAACACATGCAATGCTTCATTCTTTTCTTTCTCCTCCGTCTGTCCCTACAATTGTGTTTCCTTCCTCTTGCTTTCTTTTTTTAAGTTCTACCCAACTGAACGAGATTTCACATCTATTATTTCATTTGATCAACTCAAGAATCCTATAAAGTAAATCAAGCATTACTTACCCTTATTAAATAAATGATGAGAAAATAAATAAAAAAGAAATCACCTCACCTCCCTGGATCTTCTTACCTCAACCATAAAATGAAGAAGCTGGAGTGGGTGATTCTTTTACCTTTCATGGTCTATGTTTACTATGCTCTCTAGGGCTCCAAGATTACAAAGCCGATTAACTGGTGATGAAACTGGAACTGACAGGCAAGGTATTTTTCCACTCCTCGTATCAGCTAAGAGATTGCTCACAGTTGTTACCAAATATAAAACAACAGACAAGGGCCGGGCACAGTGGCTCATGCCTGTAATCCCAGCACTTTGGGAAGCTGAAACTGGCACTTAGGAGTTCGAGACCAGCCAACATAGTAAAACCCTGTCTCTACTAAAAATACAAAAAATCAGTCGGGTGTGGTGGCACATGCCTGTAATCCCAGCTACTCAGGAGGCTGAGGCAGGAAAATTGCTTGAACCCAGAGGCAGAGGTTGCAGTGAGCCAAGATCATGCCATGCACTCCAGCCTGAGACACACAGCAAGACTTTGTTTCAAAAAATAAAAAATAAAACAATAGACAACTGTAAAACAAAACAAAACAAAAAAAATTGACTATTTTGCTTACCCACCCACTTATTCCTAGTATTTATTCCAATTTACAAAATGCTGCTCCAAAAAGCAGAACTAGAGTTGTTAACTTGCATGAAGTAATCCTTTACATACCTTAGAAAATCATCTTACCTCCCTGCCACTCTCTTCCAATCCCCTCCATTCCCTTGGAATCATCTCTGACACACCTCCAAATCTGCCTAAGTAGCTTTATATCTACCTACTCATCTCATGGTATCTGGTCAGAAAAGGTAGTCAACTCTTCAAATATTTTAATTTTTTTTTTTTTAGACACGGTCTCACTCTGTTATAAAGGCTGGAGTGCAGTGGCAAGCTCACTGCAACCTCCACCTCCCTCGCTCAAGTGATCCTCCAGCCTCAGCCTCCCCAATAGCTAGGACTACAGGCACATGCCACCAAGCTAGGCTAATTTTTGTGTTTATATGTAGAGACAAGGTCTCACCATGTTGCCCAGGCTGGTCTTGAACTCCTGCCTCAATGGATCCAACCATCTCGGCTTCCCAAAGTGCTAGGATTATAGGCGTAAGTCACTGCGCCTAGCCAAATATTTTAATCTTATTGTAGTAAGCTTAACATGTGGCTTTCGGAGTGCAATAACAATTGAGAGATAGTGCAGAAGATAACAAAGTCTAAGTCAGCATTTTATAAATTTCAGAGAAAAAGATGCAGTTTTACTACTAATGGAGGCATAATTTCTAAGGATCTTGGAGGTTTAGTAAAAGTAAAGATGAAATTTAGGAAAAGTAAAGATGAAATGAGATTTAATTGGAGGAAGGTGTAGAGTAACCCACCATCCCTTCAGTGAATGATCAGGAGAAAAAAAAAAGGCTATATTATATAACAAGGATGGACAAAAAAGGAAATTGTTACTTAGCAGCAACCTCTACGGGGTAAAAGAATTGGAAAACACTGATATGAGGCAAGTACTGACTTTCCTTGGTGCTTATATTCAAGAAAGAATAGATGGTAATTTTAAAGAAAATGGAATTCATTTAAATAACATTTTAAAACATGTAGCAATTTAATCCACAAAAACATTCAGTCAATCAACAACAAAATCAACCTTAATATTTAATCTTGGTATTCATGAACTTTTTGTTTAAATCTCTTAAATGCTGTAAGGCCTGTTTTCCACTTGTAAGAGGCATGAAATATGAAATATAAGCACTTTTTTGTTAACAACTGGATTTCATTTCTGCTTAAGATAGTCTTTGGTCAGGCACAGTGGCTCACACTTGTAATCTCGGTGCTTTGGGAGGCCAAGGTGGGACAATGGCTTGAGGCCAGGTGTTCAAGACCAGCCTAAGCAACACAGTGACACCCTATGTCTACAAAAAATGTTTAAAATTAGCTAGGCATGGGATGGCACCTGCCTGTAACCCAAACTACTTAAGAGGCTGAGGTGGGAGGACAACTTGAGCTTTGGAGGTGAAGGCTGCAGTGAGCTGTGATAGCACCATGTCTTTATCCTACTATTTCCCTTATTCCCCATTTATTCTCATCCTAAGTATCTCATAATAAAAAACATATTCCATTTAGACTTGACTCCACACTGATCAGCTGGTGACTGACCTCTCTGAGCCTAATTCCTAATGTGCCAAACTGAGATAATACCATCTTTGCCTGACACCCGGAAAATGTTTTAAAAACAACACAAATTATGTACATCAAAATGTTCTTTAGATGTAATATACTGTGTGCATTGTGTACAGTGTTCCCATTCAGGCATATTCATATGAGGTCCCCACATTTACCGTAAGTGCGGAGACAGGCACTGCTTGAACATCACCTCCATAATCTTCACATACCACATCATAAGCCAGCAGCTCTTTTTTCACTCTTTCAGGATCAGCCTCAGCTTTGTCACATTTATTTATGGCAAGGACAATAGGAACTGAAAGAAACGGAGTTAAATAGAGTGAAAATGATGACACCTTCAATTCCAGGTATTCACAGTGAAAGACACCAACTTTCTGTTCCAGTTTTCTCTTTACTCAGTGGATGTTTTTATCTAACAAAAGGCCAAAATGACCCACTTTAGAGTCATATCACCCTACACTGCTCTCTACACATAAATAAATCCAGATGCAAGACGTTAAAAGTATAATTATAAGCAGATTCTGAGTGAATAACAGACACCTGAGATTATCAAAAAAAACAATACAGTTGGGCCGGGTGCAGTGGCTCATGCCTGTAATCCTAGCACTTTTGGAAGCTGAGGCGGGTGGATCACCTGAGGTTAGGAGTTTGAGATCAGCCTGGCCAACATGGAGAAATCCCATGTCTACTAAAAAATACAAAAATTAGCCGGGCGTGGTGGCACGCGCCTATAATCCCAGCTACTTGGGAGTCCGAGGCAGGAGAATCGCTTGAACCGGGAAGGTAGAGCTTGCAGTGAGCTGAAATCGTGCCACTGCACTCCAGCGTGGGCAACAGAGAGAGACTCCATCTCAAAAAAAAACACAACAAACAATACAGTCATTCCTGGGTATACTGGTGAATTGGTTCTAGGAACCCCCCACCACTGCCTGTATCAAAATCCCGGCATACTCAAGTCTTGCAGCCAGCTCTACAGAACCGTGTGTACAAAAAGCCATGTAAGGAAGTTTCAAATTCTGCGAATGCTGTTTTATTAATGTTTGGTTGAAAAAAATGTGTGTGTTAAGTAGACTCACACAGTTCAAACCCGTGATGTTCAAAGGTCAACTGTATTTTGGGTAGAAAAAGGCCTATCCTTAAACATAAAAGCAAGATCAACAAGTACACTGGAGATAATCTCCAAAAAAAAAAAAAATCATGAGAAGATTCCAATTCAATACTACTAGATCATTTGCCTCTTCTTTCCAGGGTTTATTAACACATTGTTAAAACCCAACATCTCATCCTAGGTTAAAACTAAGTACCAATATCACAAATTTCCTTTTAGGACTTATACTATTTATTCATACACCTAGGTCAGTGACCAACACATAGTCGACTAACACACAGGCTCTCAATAAATGTTTACTTAATGAAAGGACCAAATAATCTTTTAATCTACTTATCACTAGATAATCTACTTATCACTATTTCTCTCTTTAGAGAAATCACACAAAATTCTATGAGATAATTCTGTGGCTGCATTTCATCATCTCTGTAATTTTCTCAGGTATCAAACAGAAATTTAAAAATATACAAAAAAGTTTTGCAATCCACAACATACTATTACAAAAAAGTACATCCCAGCTGGGCACAGTGGCTCACGCCTGTAATCCCAGCACTTTGGGAGGCCAAAGCAGGTAAATCACCTGAGGTCAGGGGTTTGAGACCAGCCTAGCCAACATGGTAAAACACCATCTCTACGAAAAATACAAAAATGAGCCGAGTGTGGTGGCGGTCACCTGTAATCCCAGCTACTCGGGAGGCTGAGGCAGGAGAATCACTTGAACCTGGGAGAAGGAGGTTGAAGTGAGCCTGAGCCAAGATTGCACCACTGCATTCCAGCCTAGACGATAAGAGCAAAACTCCGTCTCAAAAAAAAAAAAAAGAAAAAGAAAAAGAAAAGAAAAGAGAAAGAAAAAGTACATTCCATGTTGATGAGCTGGAACTTAACAGGTAGGTACCAAGAGAAGAGGTGTACAAAGCATGATTTAATGTATTTATCCTATCTCAGCCAATTGCTTTGTAATGGGATCCCTGGCAAATTTATCCCTCTCTTCTTGCCATGTATTCCCTAGAATCATTAAGAACATAGTACATCATACAAAGGCAGTTTTAAGGAATTAGAAAGGAAAGAGAATAACATTGGAAGCTAGCAGATCTAAATTCCAAATGCAGACATACTGAAAATTAGTTGTATAATTGTATATAATTACGGAGAGTTCTGGCTGCTGTCTGAGTCTTACTTTCCATGCTGTAAAATAAAAGAACTGGACTAGCTCAATAACTCCCAACCTTTTAAAAATCTTGCCAGTAAATCTGGGGGGAATATGACACACTTCATCAAGTACATTTTCTCAGTAAGGGTAGGGGTACAGTCATTTCAGAATAAAAATGAATATATTGAATGTGTAACTTTTTTTTTTTTTTTTTGAGACGGAGTTTTGCTTTCGTTGCCCAGGCTGGAATGCAATGGCATGATCTCAGCTCACCACTACCTCTGCCTCCTGGGTTCAAGTGATTCTCCTGCCTCAGCCTCCCGAGTAGCTGGAATTACAGTTATGCACCACCACGCCTGGCTAATTTTGTGTTTTTAGTAGAGACGGGGTTTCTCCATGCTGGTCAAGCTGATCTCGAACTCCCAACGACCTCAGGTGATCCACCTGCCTCAGCCTCCCAAAGTGCTGGGATTACAGGTGTGAGCCACCGCTCCAGCCTAGAATGTGTAATTACATGTGTGGGTATTTATTATTATAACTTTTAAATGAAGAAATAAAGGAGACGATCATTAAGTGATTTTCCAAAAGTTTCAATTTTATATGTCTGATCAGATAAGAACTTATTTATTTATTTATTTATTTATTTATTTTTTATTTATTTATTTTTTTTTTTTGAGGCGGAGTCTTCGCTCTGTCGCCCAGGCTGGAGTGCAGTGGCTGGATCTCAGCTCACTGCAAGCTCCGCTTCCCGGGTTCCCGCCATTCTCCTGCCTCAGCCTCCCGAGTAGCTGGGACTACAGGCGCCCGCCACCTCGCCCAGCTAGATTTTTGTATTTTTTAGTAGAAACGGGGTTTCACCGTGTTAGCCAGGATGGTCTTGATCTCCTGACCTCGTGATCCACCCGTCTCGGCCTCCCAAAGTGCTGGGATTACAGGCTTGAGGCACCGTGCCCGGCCTAGATAAGAACTTATTTAAAGCAGAAGGGAAAGTTTCTCTTTAGAGAAGAATTCCACATAATAAATTAACAGGAAATAACAGAATATAACCACTATGCAACTTGTAATGAATTTAGGTGATGGGTACATAGAATTTCATTATTATCTTCCTACCTTTGTATCTGTTTAAAATTTCCATGATAAAAAGTTGAAAACAAAACAAAACAAAAAGCATAGGAAAGACTGTACCTGTGGTATGTACTTATGGTCACAAGTCCCAAGTTGAATCCTGCTATACTCTTCCTATTAGTTATAAGTCTGTGGGAAAACAATTTATCTTTGAGGCTTATCTATAATACAGGTATAACTCTGGGATTGTTGTAAAGACTAAATGAGCCATATGTAAATGGCCCCAGAACTTTGACTTTATGTAGTACATCCATTAAGTCAGCCACACAGTACCTTGTGCATCTTTGGCATGCTGAATAGATTCTACAGTTTGTTTCATCACCCCATCATCTGCAGCTACAACCAATATGACAATGTCAGTGACCTGAGCCCCTCTGGCTCTCATTGCTGAGAAAGCAGCATGTCCTGGAGTATCAAGAAAAGTTATCTTTTCCCCAGAAGGCAGAGAAACTGTGGAAACAGAAATTCAAGAACATCAAGGACTCAAACATGTACTTCCTTAATACCAAAGAATATATGTGACATTATCAGAAACCATCAATAATTCTTTAAAATAATTTTATTCCTTCCATTAATCTTAATCAGAACACAGATCATAATAATTTCACAATGAAAAGTGATAAAACGTCAGTGAAACTTTTATGGGTTTTTTTCCACGTAAAAATTTTAAACTAAAGTCTCCATATTTCTAGAACATAACTACTTTCATAAATATATCAACTGATAAATCTATTTTAGAGATAGAACAGACCAACTGTTGTACAGGGAGCCACCCTTTCATTAGCAAATCAGAGTTGCACAACCCCCTGAGCCACAGAAAGGCGATTTAGTAGGCAGTAGCTCAGGATTTGAGTCCAGTGACCTTGGGTTTAAATCCTGGCTATGCTACTTACAGGCTATATACTGTGGGAAAGTTACTTAACTCAAAAAAGTATCAGCTTCCTTATTTGTAAGTGCAACTATTAATACCTACCTTATGATGTTGTTGTAAGATAAAAAAGACAAAACATATAAGGTGCTTAGCACAGTACTGGACACATGCTAGGTGCTCATAATTGGGACTATTATTTAATTATTATCAGCAACATTATCACAACCTAGCAAAGGAGGTTATATAAACATAATTAATTAACAAAAAATTGTAGGCTCATTAAATCAAACTAAGAATAAGCTAGAATTAAAAGTTAACACAATTTTCAGCCAGGCACGGTGGCTCACACCTGTAATCCTAGCACTTTGGGAGGTCAAGATGGGCAGATCACTTGAGGTTAGGGGTTCGACACCAGCCTGGCCAACAAGGCAAAATCCTGTCTCTACTAAAAATACAAAAAAATTAGGCCAGGCACAATGGTTCACATCTGTAATCCCAACACTTAGGGAGGCCGAGACGGGTGATCACAAGGTCAGGAGTTTGAGACCAGCCTGGCCAACACGGGGAAACCCTGCCTCAACTAAAACTACAAAAATTAGCCAGGCACAGTGGTGCACACCTGTAGTCCCAGCTACTTGGGAGGCTGAGGCAGGAGCACTGCTTGAACCGGGAAGGCAGAGGTTGCAGTGAGCCAAGATTGCACCACTGTACTCCAGCCTGGGTGACAGAGTGATACTCTGTCTCAAAAAAAAAAAAAAAAAAAAACCGGTAACACAATTTTCTTGTCATAGAAAGTTAAAAAATAGCTTTACTAATCACTTGCTCTACATTTCATCAAACCAACGACTGTAAGCTTTAGCCTTCTCTTTTACTTTGAATTTGTATACTTCACACTATGACATTTGGTTTAAGAAAATAGTAAGTGGGGTTCCCAAGCACATTGTAAGGTAATTTGTGTTCATACCAAGAAAGGCACCAATGTGCTGAGTGATGCCTCCAACTTCCATTGCTGCCACTTGAGTTTTTCGAAGTTTGTCAAGTAATGTCGTTTTCCCATGATCAACATGGCCCATTATAGTAACAATCGGGGACCTTGGGATTAATAAAGCTGGATCTGCCTGGGGCCTACAATTAACAGCAAAAGAGTTTCATTTCTTAAATATCAGAAATATTTTAATATAGCCTGTGAATTGGTTGACATTTATCCCTGTGAGCTACCATTAACAATAAAACCCAATATTCAGTGTGGATTAGGCCTATTTTCCCTTCTTATACATATAATGACTTATGACAGACTATTTAATAACTGCCTACCTCCCTGTGGTTTACATTTTCATAAGAATGAGAATTAATCAAATCTGAAAATTCAGACCAATGTATACATTCAGCAAATTTAAAAAAACCTTACAGTTTTATAACTTGAATGTATTAATACACTTTCTAATGCTTTAAGTACTTTGAAGAAAAGTTTATAAACACGTATCTTTATTACAAAAGAAATTTTAAAGCCAATCTTTCCATTAAAAAGTGTGAATATAACTATGTAGTCTCTCCCAAACCCCACCAGTATATACAGTTAAGTTTTACCTTCTTACAGCATCTTTATTTTTTTTGACTTTGTCCTGTTTCAATTTACTCCACTTTAACTTCATCCCTGCCTTCATTATCACTTCCTTGATCCAGACTTCATCTAAATGTGAGTCTGCTTCCAGTGAATCTATGTCAATAGCAGTGTTCAATAAAGCTTCATATATATAATCTGGTTGGAATAAAATAAAACCTTTTAGGATCATTAATCAAATGCTCAAGAAAGTAATCTCTATTAATAAATGTCTATATGAATAGTACACTCAATGAGAGGAATAACTATGCAAACTGTTTCTCTAATATTAATAAATCACAAGGAAGCTAAAAAATGTTTTTAAATTATTCAAAATATGATACATTTCTATTTACTGACTTTTCTGCATATTCATAAATATTTGAATTTATGTATTCTAAGCCATCTGAATCATCAGTAAAATGTTAAGATAGATTTAGTATTTATAATAATTGATTGTAGTCTACTTCTCTAAAAATTAAAGTCACAAATGTCATGTATATATGAATGTGTGTGTGTATACAATCAATTCCCATTATTTGCAATAATTATGTTCTATAAAGTCACCAAAACTATTGAATTAGCAAATATTGAACCACTGTTCTGAGGGGAACTACACAGTTGGGTTCCTGCAAGCCTTTAGTGACATTTCATTAACTGATCAATACATAATTTTGTTTTACGCATTTCTGTTTAAAGATACTATATATATATTTGATTCATTAACATTGAACTCATAGCCAATTGCACTGTAACTCATGCCGGAACAAGCTTATTTGAGATGCATATTTTCTCTGTAAGGCATATCACAGCCTTCTTGAGCTTAGGAACACTAGATAGGACTTCAGTACCACATTTAGGAGCCATTTTAAACAGCAAAATTACCAACAAAAAGTATAAAAATGTGAAAAAAATGTGGCACTAAATAGAATACAAAAAGGACACTTGTTTGCAGTACGACAGCTGAAACAGAGTGTCACCTCATTCAACCTCAGCTTCAGAACATGCAAAATGCACAACTCACATTTTTCACTGTTCTGCACATGTCCAATAATAACTGCAAGAGAACCTGAGTACTGATTTTTTTTTTCTTTCTGGGACAGAGTTTCGCTGTTGTCACCCAGGTTGAAGTGCAGTGGGGCAATCTCAGCTAGCTGCAGCCTCTGCTTCCCAGGTTCAAACAATTCTTCTGCCTCAGCCTCCTAAGTAGCTGAGACTACAAGTGCATGCCACCATCCCTGGCTAATTTTTGTATTTTTAGTAGACAGGGTTTCACCATGTTGGTTAGGCTGGTCTCAAATTCCTGACCTCAGGTGATCTGCCTGTCTGGGCCTCCCAAAGTGCTGGGATCACAGGCGTGAGCCACCGCGCCCAGCAAGTACTGATTTTTGAGCTGCAAACACATTTTGTTGAGTAGGTGAATTTTCAAATACAGAATCCACACCTAAAATAAATAATCCACGCATAATGAGAACTGACAGTATGTACAGACACACACACTATATATCTCTCTCTCTCTCTGAATACATGTATCCTCAATTCATTTACCTGTTTATGTATCTAATAAAAAGTCTTTATTTTTTATTTAAAAAATTTTTTTGGCCAGGCATGGTGGCTCATGCCTGTAATCCCAGCACTTTGGGAGGCTGAGGCAGGCAGATCATGAGGTCAGGAGTTCAAGACCAGCCTGGCCAATATGGTGAAACCCCATTTCTACTAACAATACAAAAATTAGCCAGGCATGGTGGCAGCGCCTGTAGTCCAAGCCACATGGGAAGCTGCGGCAGGAGAATCGCTTGAACCCGGGAGACAGAGGTTGCAGTGAGCCAAGAATGTGCCACTGCACTCCAGCCTGGGTGAGAGAGCGAGACTCTATCACAAAAAAAGAAACAAAAAAAACCAAAAAACTTTTTTTTGAGATAGGGTCTTGCACTGTCATCCAGGCCAGAGTGCAGTGGCACAATCCTAACTCACTGCTGTAGCCTCAAATTCCCAGGCTCAAGCAACCCTCCTGCCTCAGTCTCCACTGTAGCTGGAACCACAGGTGCCACCACCACATCCTACTAATTTTTTGTAGAGAAGGGGTCTTGCCATGTTGCCCAGGTTGGTTTTGAACTCCTGGTCAAGCAATTCTCCCACCTTGGCCTCCCAAAGTTCTGGAATTACAGGTGTTACTGCACCTAACCCAAAAACTCTTGAAATATAGGAAAAATATTTACCTATTCTCTTTTTCATTTTATTTAATGTGCTTTGTTTTAATCTCAGTCATGTTTCCCTGTGGATGATAAACAAATGTATCTGTGATGATAATGAAACAAGTAGTTTTATGTTCCAGACTTGTAGTCACCCTATAAAAATATGTTTAAAGCTGGGCTTTAATATATTAATTAATATATATTAATATATTAATATATGGTGGCTCAAGCCTGTAATCCCAGCACTTTGGGAGGCCGAGGTGGGCAGATCACCTGAGATCAGGAGTTCGAAACCAGCCTGCCCAACATGGTGAAACCCCATCTCCATTAAAAATACAAAAAATTAGCTGGGCATGGTGGCACACACCTGTAATCCCAGCTGCTCCAGAGGTTAAAGCAGGAGAATCTCTTGAACCCAGGAGGCGGAGGTTGTAGTGAGCCAAGACTGAGCCACTGCGCTCCAGTCTGGGCAAGAGTGAGAATCCGTCTCAAGAAAAAAGAAAGGAAGAAAGCCATCCTCAGATAAGCAGAACATTACACTAAAAGAACATCCTATTCACTGGTGTGCTGGCAAATGTTTAATAACTATGCTGTCAAAAATAAACCTCTAATTTACAGCATTCCCCAATTTCCATGGTGCAAATATGCCCACCATGGTTGATTACAAGCTACCAACATAAAGTCACTGAATACAGAGTTGGGAAGAGATGCACAGTAGTAGACTACTATATAGTCTTTCTCCCATACAGATATGATAGGCATAAATAACCTTGAGAACACAAATAATTGTAAAATGCAATAAAATAATTGGGAAGTGAAGAGTTGGTTTTGTTTGTTTGTTTGTTTTGGGGTTTTTTGAGGCAGGGTCTCACTCTGTCGCCCTGGCTGGAGTGCAGCGGCACAATCTCGGCTCACTGCAACCTCTGCCTCCCAGGCAATCCTCCCACCTCAGCCTCCCAAAAAGCAGGAACTAGAGGCTTGCGTCACCATACCCAGCTAATTTTTGTATTTCTTTTGTAAAGATGAGGCTTCACCATGTTGCCCAGGCTGATCTCAAACTCTTGGGCTCAAGCGATATGTTTGCCTCAGCCTCTGAAAGTGCTGGGATTATAGACATGAGCCACCACACCCAGCCAGTAAAAGAGTTTTTGAGTTTTTACTACCTTTATGACTTAATTTTTTAAAATGGTTGTGTTTAACAACCAATAATGCCAAGAAACCATTTCCTATTTATCTTTCTACCACATGCTTTCCCAAGGAAACACATTTTAAGAATGATACAACTCAAATTTACTATGTGAATATGCTCTCAGAGAACTGTAAAACTATTTCAAAACAAAAATTATTAGTTGGCCGGGCACAGTGGCTCACACCTGTAATCTCACCACTTTGGGAAGCTGAGGTGGGTGGATCAGCTGAGGTCAGGAGTTTGAGACCAGCCTGACCAACATGGTGAAACCCCATATCTACTTAAAACACAAAAATTAGCAAGGCGGCTGGGCAGTGGCTCACGCCTGTAATCCCAGCACTTTGGGAGGTTAAGGTGGGCGGATCACCTGAGGTCAGGAGTTAGAGACCAGCCAGGCCAACATGCTGAAACCTCGTCTCTCCTAAAAATACAGAAATTAGCCAGGCGTGGTGGTGCATGCCTGTAGTCCCAGCTACTTAGGAAGCTGAGGCAGGAGAATCGCTTGAACCTGGGAGACAGAAGTTGCAGTGAGCTGAGATCATACCACTGCACTCCAGACTGGGTGAGAGAGCAAGACTCCATCTCAAAAAAAAAAACTTAGCCAGGCATGTTAGGCACCTGTAATCCCAGCTACTCGCGAGGCTGAGACAGGAGAATTGCTTGAACCTGAGAGGTGGAGGTTGCAGTGAGCCAAGATCACGCCATTGCACTCCAGCCTGCACAACAAGAGTGAAACTCTGTTCAAAAAAAATATATATACATATATATGAGTACAATTCTATTTCTAATAATGCTAAAAATACCTAATACTCTAGTTTTCCAATACATTATATCGAACTTTTGGGAAGTAGCTTACATAGAGAGATAACCATTTCCCCTCTGTATTAAATGCATATGGTATTAACATACTATTTTATTTTTACCAAAGACTTAAATATTTACATGTAGAAAAGTATCCAACATATTGCAACATTAAATATTACATCAAGCTACTTAAATGACCCAGGAGAAGAGGGAAAAAAAGTACTCATATCGCTAATATATATAGTAGTTAAAAAGAATCACCTCATGAAAACTATCTTTAATTCAGAAGAGATCTGAATATGAAATAAGCTTCAAATAGACACCCTTTATTTTCATCATAAACAATCAGTTTGGGGTTTAGAGTACTGCTCCATGAGACTAAATTTGTATTTTAATCATTCTATTTATTAGTCATACTAAAGAATTCTGGTTATGGGTTCCTCTATGTGTATAGGGGTAGGGGGTAATATTTGAAAAAAAAAAAAAAAAAAAAAAGGAGTACTCATCTTTTAGAGATATATACTGAAGTACTAATGGATAAAATAAAATATCTGTTGTCACTTACTTATGCATACATTTAAGCTTTTTCCATTCTTTCTGCTACCATATTTGTCTGATAATTGCTAATAATAAAAAGTTTTGCCAGGCACAGTGGCTCATCCCTGTAATCCTAGCATTTGAAAGGCTAAGGTGTGCAGATCACTTGAGGCCAGGAGTTTGAGACCAGCCTGGCCCACATAATGAAACTCTGTCTCTACTAAAAATACAAATATTAGCTGGGTGTGGTGGCATATGCCTGTAATCCCAGCTACTTGGGAGGCTCAGGCACAAGAATCACTTGAACCGGGGAGTCAGAAGTTGCAGTGAGCCAAGATCCTGCCACTGGACTCCAGCCTGGGTGACACAGCAAGACTGTGCCTCAAAAAAAAGTTTTAAAAATCAAGCCTATCATCAATACTATTTATAAAACCACACCAATACAATTTTCTGCAGAAAAAATTCTGAATGATATAGCCATATTCATTTATTTTCACAGTTTTCTAGCTATAAAATGACTGAATAATCCATCTGCAAAATTATTAAAAATGCCAAACAGGCCGGGCACGGTGGCTCATGCGTGTAATCCCAGTACTCTGGGAAGCCGAGGCGGACGGATCACCTGAGGTCGGGAGTTCAAGACCAGTCTGATCAACATACAGAAACTTCATCTCTACTACAAACACAAAATTAGTCAGGCGTGGTAGTGCATGCCTGTAATCTCAGCTACTCGGGAGGCTGAGACAGGAGAACTGCTTGAACCCAGGAGGCAGAGGTTGTGATGAGCCGAGATCGCGCCATTGCACTCTAGCCTGGCTAACAAGAGCGAAACTCTGTCTCAAAAAAAAAAAGGCCCAACAGTGTGCTAACAATTTTGTACTCTTTGTAAGGATGTACATGCACAAAAAGTAGTAACACTTTCAGGCAGGAAATACATTGAAGTTTAGCATTGCTGTGATTTACAAAATAATTCTTGAGAGATAATTTGGTTGATGAGTAACAGCATGTGCTCTGGAGCCATAATTCATAAGATCAAATATTCCCCATATTTCCGAGGTTCAAATCCTGGTTCTCCCACAACTAGCTGGAAAGAGTGGGTAATTACTTATCCTCTCTAAACCTCACTTTCCCAGCCTGTAAATAAGGACACCTAACTTTAGGGCATTGTGAGAAGAAGTACAAGAGTTAAAAAAGTACTGGTACATATTAATGGCTTAACATATATGAGTTACTATTAATTCTTTTTTTCCCCAAGAGTCTGTTACACTTTGTTACAATAACAGGGTATATTTCTCATACACTGAATTTTAATATCACTTTATAATGAAAACTCAAATTTTGTTTCAAAAATCCTAAACTGGTAATAAGCACATCACAATGAAGGAATATAAAAATGGCAATAATATGCTCCATTTATACATAAAAATAATATTATAACAAGTTGTAGTTATTATTATCAGTATTTTTTTTTTTTTAAAGACAGATTCTCACTCTGTCGCCCTGGCTGGAGTGCAGTGGTGCGATCTCGGCTCACTGCAAGCTCCGCCTCCTGGGTTCACGCCATTCTCCTGCCTCAGCCTCCCGAGTAGCTGGGACTACAGGCGCCTGCCACTATGCCTGGCTTATTTTTTTGGTATTTTTAGTAGAGACGGGGTTTCACTGTGTTAGCCAGGATGGTCTCGATCTCCTGACGTAGGGATCCGCCCGCCTCAGCCTCCCAAAGTGCTGGGATTACAGGCGTGAGCCACCGTGCCTGGCTACTATCAGTATTTCTCATATTGTCAAAATGAGTGAAAAGGCTGGGCGTGGTAGTTCACGCCTGTAATCCCATCACTTTGGGAGGCCGAGGTTGGCGGATCACTTGAGGTCAGGAATTTGAGACCAGCCTGGCCAACACGATGAAACGCTGTAACTACTAAAAATACAAAAATTAGCCAGGTGTGGTTGTGGGCACCTATAATCCCAGCTCCTCAGGAGGCTGAGGCAGTAGAATCACTTGAATCTGGGAGGCGGAGGTTGCAGCGAGCCAAGATTGTGCCACTGCACTCCATCCTGGGTGACAAGAGTGAAATTCTATCTCAAAAAAAAAATAATAATAATGATGAGTGAAAAAAAGGAAACCAGAAAATTATAGGGCCAGGCATGGTGGCTCATACCTATAATCCCAGCACTTTGGGAAGCTGAGGCAGAAGGATTACTTGCACCCAGGAGTTCTAGACAACATAGTAAGACTCTGTCTCTACAAAAAATAAAAAATTAGCTGGGCATAGTGACACATGCCTGTAGTCCCAGCTACTCAGGAGGCTGAGGCTGAAGGACTGTTTGAGCCCAGGAGGCCAAGGCTGCAGCAGTGAGCCATGATTGTGCCACTATAATGGACAAAGCAAGACCCTTTCTCAAAAAAAAAAAAAAAAAAAAAAAAAAAAAAAGGAAGAAGATATAGAAAATTATAGAAAAACAAAGAGAAAGTATATAAGTATAGACCCTCAGTCTAAAAACATTCTTTGGATTTATTCTAATAGCCCACAAAACTTCCACGAAAGAAAACTTAATTCATGTAAGAAAATCTTTTCCACTTTAATTAAAAGCAAAATCTTGGAGAACTACATTTGGCAGAGTCAAGAAACTAGGGATTATGACTTAAAATGAAGAATATTACGATGACTTAATATATTTTTTAAGTGCCAGTCTAGTTTTTAATCTTTAAATGCCTTAATCTCATTGCAAATAAAATGCCTGGTCTTCCAACATTCCCATATTTTGCTTTGTAAAAATATCTGACTCACCTGTGTTTTTTTCCATTGCCCTGGCCAGTTCCTCAACAGTCATTCCAATCCATACTTCTACCACCTTTTTAGATTTTGTTGAAGATAACTGAGATTTCCGTGGTCTTTCTTCCTATTAAAAAAATCAGAACATATAAACAAAAAGGAAGGAAAAACTTAAGTGACAATTTAGATTTATTCTGAAATATCTACCACAATCATAGCTACTATTTCTTTTTTTTGAGACAGAGTCTTGCTCTGTCATCCAGATCTCATCCGATCTCAGCTCACTACAACCTCCACCTCCTGGGTTCAAGCCATTCTCCTGCCTCAGCCTCCCCAGTAGCTGGGATTACAGGTGTGCACCACCATACCCAACTAGTTTTTGTATTTTTTTTGTTTTTTGGTTTTTTTTTGAGATGGAGTCTCTCACTCTGTTGCCCAGGCTGGAGTGCAGCGGTGTGGTCTCGGCTCACTGCAACCTACAACTCTCAGGTTCAAGCGATTCTCCTGCCTCAGCCTCCTGAGTAGCTGGGACTACAGGCATGCGCCACCATGCCCAGCTAATTTTTGTATTTTTAGTAGAGACAGGGTTTCACCATGTTGGCCAGGCTGGTCTCAAACTCTTGACCTTGTGATCTGCTTACCTTGGCCTCCCGAAGTGCTAGGATTACAGGCGTGAGCCACCGTGTCTGACCATAGCTACTATTTCTACCAACAAACACTCCCATAAGTAGTTAAAACTTAGGCTTAAATTCCTACATCCTTAATTCACTGTTGTACACTGATTCCCAAGGAACCAAATTCATCAGCACCACACAATTAACCAGAACTTCCCTTTCTCACAAAGCGCTATTGCCTGGAATATAGCATTAAGTAATAAATATTCTGTAAATGATAAAATACTCAAAATGGATTTCTACTCATGGTTCTAGGCACTTTCATTTTAGATCAAATAATAAAATAACTTACAGAAATCTGTAACTATGCCGGGCGCGGTGGCTCATGCCTGTAATCCCAGCTACTCAGGAGGCTGAGGCAGGAGAATCACTTAAACCCAGGAGGCGTAGGTTGCAGTGAGCCGAGATCGCGCCAGCGCACTCCAGCCTGGGTGACAGGTTGAGACTCCGTTTCAAAAAAAAAAAAAAAAAGAAAACTGTAACTACCTTTTTTGTTACTAGAAACCTATACTGAGATAAAGCAGCCCCAATGAGCATTTCTGTTGGCCAGGGCCAGGCATACAGCTGAGCTGTCCACACAGGGTAAGCAGATGAAAACCCATGGCTCCACTGTCTTAATGCTCTTCTTTGACACAGACTGTGCAGTTGCCTATAAATAGTGTGAAATCGTAGCAAGTTCTCCAATTTCAATAGCTTCTGGTTCATGTTTCTCCTAGGAAAAAAAAAAAAGGTTTTAAAATAATATTCAAATCAAGTTAGCAAATATTAATTGGATATTTACTATATGCATAGCACTGGGCTACACTTAGCTCACTAGACTTACAACAACAAGTAAAACTGGGTTCCTGCCCTGAAAAAACTCAGTCTCATCAAGAGATGGGATTCCATACCAAGTACTCTCTAGATACTAGCTATTATTATTACTGTTAATGTTACTACTATGATAGAATTGAAATACAATAACAACTTGTAAAAGGCTCTTTTTTCACTTTTGAAATATCAACTAACCAAATCACAACTAGAGTAATTTTTCTAAAGTGCAAATGTGAAATGATCACCTTTCTGTTAAACACCCTGAAACTTCTTTTTTGAAACTGGGTCTCACTATATTGTCCAAGCTGGAGGCTGGAATGCAGTGATGTGGTCACAGCTCATTGCAGCCTCGACCTCCTTGGCTTAGGTGATCCTCTCACCTCAGCCTCCCTAATAGCTGGGACTAGAGGTGCCCACCACTATGCCCAGATAATTTTTTGTTTGTTTTTTTGGTAGAGATGGTGTTTCACCATGTTGTCTAGGCTGGTCTCAAACTCCTGGGATCCAGTGATCCACCCTGGTCTCCCAAAGTGCTGGGATTACAGGCATGAGCCACCATGCCCAGCCTTACTTTATTTCTTACACTCCTAGAGTCTCTACACTCCTACCTCTCAAGCTTTTGTTATTATAACCCACCTATAATCTCTGATGGCTTGTCATCTCATCTCTGAAACTTTGCACACACTTCATCTAGTTGGAACTGTCTTTCAATTCTTAACACTTTTCCATCTTCCCATCTCACCCCCTAAAAAAAGATGCTTTATAGTAGGAAGAAGACACCCACTATTTATTGAACAATGCCTTTTGAGTTATTATTCTTAGAATGAAAGAAGAGTTTTTTGAGAGAAAATTGTAACAGAACTCATTAGTAATAGTTCTTTTCCTCCCAGTGGCCTCTACTGCCTCTGCTCTCAAGACTGCATTTCTATGGCTTTGCTTTTCAGTTTTTAGGGGCAGGAACGACAAAAACAATGTAAAAAGAACACGTTTTCCGGCCGGGTATGGTGGCTCATACCTGTAATTCCAGCACTTTGGGAGGCCAACATGGGCAGATCACCTGATATCAGGAGTTTGAGACTAGCCTGGCCAACGTGGTGAAACCTCGTCTCTAATAAAAATACATATAAAGCTATCTTGAACAAAATTATAAACTTTTACAAAGTTTTAAAATTTTTGGCCAGGCACAGTGGCTCATGCCTGTAATCTCAGCACTTTGGGAGACCAAGGCAGGCAGGTCATTTGAGGTCAGGAGTTCGACACCAGGCTGACTGATGTGGTGAAACCCCATTTCTATTAAAAATACAAAAAAATTAGCTGGGCGTGGTGGCACATGCCTGTAGTCCCAGCTACTCGGGAGGCTGAGGCAGGAGAATTGCTTGAACCTGGGAGACAGAGGTTGCAGTGAGCCGAGATTGCACCACTGCACTCCAGCCTGGGAGACAGAGCGTGACTCTGCCTCAAAAAAAAATTTTTTTTAAATGATTTCTCTTATAATATGGCATTTCTACAATATGCTTATATTTTATATTTATATACAACATATACATTATATAAATATATTTATATTTTCTACTAGATATTCTTTAAAATTGTTCACAAATGATAATAGTTATTTGATGTGACCAAAGAAATCAAGGCTCTGGACGGGTGATCTTTGCTAGATAACTAGACATTAAATGTTACATTTCTTTCTTTCTTTTTTTTTTTTGAGATGGAGTCTCCCTCTGTTGCCCATGCTGGAGTTCAGTGGTGTGATCTCAGCCCACTGCAACCTCTGACTCCCGGGTTCAAGCGATTCTCCAGCCTTAGCCTCCCAAGTAGCTTGAACTACAGGTGTGCGCCACTGTGTCCAGCTAATTTTTGTATTTTTAGTGGACGCCAGGTTTTACCGTGTTGGCCAGGCTAGTCTCAAACTCCTGACCTCAGGTGATCCACCTGCCTCAGCCTCCCAAAATGCTGGGATTACAGGTGTGAGCCACCATGCCTAGCCTAAATGTTACATCTCAACCAATCTTCCCAAAGTGTATTTTATGGTTCTAACATAGTAAATTTATGGTTCTGACATGGCAAATAGAATATACTGAAATTTTTTTTTTTTTGAGATGGAGTTTTGCTCGTCACCCAGGCTGGAGTGCAATGGCGCAATCTCGGCTCACTGCAACCTCCACCTCCTGGGTTCAAGGGATGCTCCTGCCTCAGCTTCCCAAGTAGCTGGGATTACAGGCGCCTGCCAGCACAGCCGGCTAATTTTTTTGTCTTTTTAGTAGAGACGGGGTTTCACCATGTTGGTCAGGCTGGTCTTGAACTCCTGACCTCAGGTGATCCACCCACCTTGGCCTCCCAAAGTGCTGGGATTACAGGGGTGAGCCACTGCACCTGGCCTATATTGAATACTTTTTAAAAGAAAGAAAATAAATCGTAACTGAAACAAGCACAGTATAGTGAAGAAAGTATCTTATTGGGCAACAAAGGAAACTTAGCTGGACACTCACTCTGATAGTAAGTGTTATCTGGACTCAGCAAGTCACTTGTTTCCTATGGGCCTCATTTTCTGGATCTCTGTTAAAAAATAAATAAATAAATAAGTGTTTGAATATCTGTCCTTCCTATTACAAGACTATGAGGAGAAAATGGGATGATGTAAAGACTTTATCATCAGCTATTTTAAAACCATATCACACATTTCAGTACTGGCTTATAAGCTTTGAGGATTCATTGCTTATAAGTTAAAAATATTCACAAGTCATTAACTTGTTTACCTTCAGACAATTAAGAGGTTATGTATGTGCGTGTAATCGAGCAAGCATTTTACCTTAAAAGGCTTATTCAAGTAAAGATCAAGGAAAAATCTGACTTAATGCCAACGAAATAAACACATTAAGATTTAGAAATTCAGGCCGGGCATGGTGGCTCATGCCTGTAATCCTAGCACTTTGGGAGGCCGAGGCGGGCGGATCACCTGAGGTCATGATTTCAAGAGCCTGGCCAACGTGGTGAAACCCCATCTCTACTAAAAGTACAAAAATTAGCCGGGCGTGGTGGTGGGCGCCTGTAATCTCAGCGACTTGGGAGACTGAGGCAGGAGAATGGCTTGAACCCAGGAGGCAGATTGCAGTGAGCCGAGATCACGCCACTGCACTCCAGCTTGGGCGACAGAGTGAGACTCTGTCCAAAGAAAAAAAAAAAAATTGGAAATTCATTCAATAGTATTTACACACATTAAATACTTTTAAGAATGGCACATACTTACGGTTGTGCCCCTGGACCAAAAGTAGAGTGCTCGGGAAACACAGGATCCCTTGAGAAAATAATTTTTAAACGAGTATGAAACCAGATTTGAGAAGAGCACAGATTAAGGGAATGGGAGGAAGGACACTACAAGATATTAACCAAAGCACAGATATGTAATTGAGGCAGAAACTGGAAAGACATATTGGAGGCAATAACCCAAATGTCAAAACTGGAAGGAAATTTGTCACTTATTCCAAGCTCCTCATTTTACAGAAAAGGAAACGTAAATCCATAGGGGTCAAAAAGGCGTCTCCAGTGTCATACCGCTAGTTAATGGCAGTCAAGACTAGAACCCAGACGTTCTGACTCCCAGTAAGGTGGTGTTTGGTCACTAGGATATTCTTGTCAAGGAATCTGAAAAAAGTATGTTGCAAATACGTAGTTGCGTTAGTGGAAATGTCTGAAAGTGAGCTGGAAGCTTTCGAACTTACCTGAAAGGTAAAAATAAATCACTGCAGAAAAATTACGAAACTGGGGTGGCTTCGCCTCAAATTGGAGCCCAGAAGGCCTTGGGCCTATGGGAGGCTGGGACTTGAGGACCTGCGCCCGCAGCGGCGCCCGAGGAGGGGAAGCCGGCCGGCCGCTTCCGAGAGAACAGAGCACATGCCTTCGTGAATGCTTAACGTGAGTTTACGCAGGGATTAAATGCATCTTGAAAAGGTTTCCGAACGCACAATGTTTATGAGTTCGCGTGATTTGTGCCACTGACACGTTAGGCGAAACAACACACACCACCCACACCGGACAACCCTGGTTAAGGGACCCTACCCACTTAACTCCTACCTACTGTCCCGGGCCCCTGGATCTGAGCACGGGTGGAGATCACCTTCCGGACCCGGAAGAATGGTCGGTAGGTCAGTCCGTCCCCGCTACGGTCCCCGCCGGACTTCCGGTCCCGCTGGAAAAGGTTCTTTCCGGTATTCAGAAGAGTCGCTGTAGCCGCCCGGGGTGGGGCTGTCTGCGGTGTCCGCAGCGGGCGTCCAGCCTGGGAGGCGCTCGTTCAACCTGTGGCTCCTCCCAGGGTCAGCCGCGCGTGGTGAATCGTTTCTGCAGGTCCCTTCCATTTCTTGTTTTCCTTTCCTTTCTTTCTCTCTTTCCTTTTTCTCTTTCTGTCACTCTCGTTTCTTTCCTTACTTCCTTCATTTCTTCCTTCCTTTCTTTCCTCTTCCTTCCTTTCCGTTTTTCGCTTTTTTTTTTTTAAGAAAACTGCCTTTATTCAATTAGAAGTTGGAAAATTTAACTGTTACAGAAAAAAAGTGTAATCAGCTGGAGAAAAAAGTGCCACCCATGAGAACTGATGGCTCCTCTGGGAGGGAATCTGGATACAATGAGGGTTTCTAGGAAGCAAATTACTTCTACTCTGGGGCTGTGTGTGGCCTCGGTGGTGCTTGCACTCGAGGAAACGTTAAATGGAGAACTGTGGGAGAAATGATACCTCCTTCAAAGATACGTGTTCCTAACAAGAAGGAAAAAAGAAATGCAAGGAAACAGTGGCCGTAGAACCAGTTAGTATTGTGCGAACAGTACTTTCTCTTTTTTCAGAAGTCAGCTTGTATGTATGGCATTTGGAGTAATAGAGTCAGAGTGTCTGATTTCCTATCCCAGCTCATTCCTAGTGTGTGGTTGGGGATGTCTTGTCAACTGTCCATGTCCCAGTTTGTTCATCTACATTATAGTAATGACAGTAGCTAGTTCACAGGATTGTAATACGGTTTTTGTTTTGTTTTTTGTTTCTTTTTGTTTTTGAGATGGAGTTTCGCTCTTGTTGCCCAAGCTGGAGTGCAATGGCGCGATCTCAGCTCACCGCAGCCTCTGCCTCCCGCTTTCAAGCGATTGTCCTGCCTCAGCCTCCCGAGTAGCTGGGATTACAGGCATGCGCCACCACGTCTGGCTAATTTTGTATTTTTAGTAAAGACGGAGTTTCTCCATGTTGGTCAGGCTGGTCTCGAACTCCCTATCTCAGGTGATCCGCCCACATCGGCCTCCCAAAGTGCTGGGATTACAGGCGTGAGCCCCTGCTCCCAGACTGTTTTTTTGTTTTTTTGAGACAGTCTCACTGTGTCGCCCAAGCTGGAGCTCAATGGCGCAATCTCGGCTCATTGCAACCAACCTCCGCCTCCTGGGTTCAAGTGATTCTCCCCCCTCAGCCTCTTGCTTGGCTGAGATTACAGGCACACACCACCACACCCTGCTAATTCACCATGTTGGCCAGGCTGGTCTGGAACTCCTGGCCTCAGGTGACTGCCCACCTCAGCCTCCTAAAGTGCTGGGATTACAGGCATGAGCTGCTGCGCCCGGCTGTAATAAGCTTTTAATGGGTTGATAAACTGTTGATAAATAGTGCCTGGTTCATAGTAAGTGTTTGCTGTTATGGTTATTACAGCCTGCCCCCAGAGCTTTCCCTCACTTGCTTGGACATTATGTCTTTCAGCTGGTCCTTTTGACCACAACCATCACCACCTCTCAAATATAAATATTGTTTTATTATCTGTGTCTTTTGGTAAAAGGAATTTGAGAAGAAAACAAAATCAATCAATTAATCTTTAAGATCTACCACTCCCCTAGGTAATTGGTATTGTACAGAAGTTCATTACTCAAAAGCATACTTGCCATCATCTTACCTCCTAACTCACGCCCCCACCCCAATCTACCACCCTCTTTTTTTCCCCCACCTTCCCAATGCCTACTACAAAGCTGTGCAATCGGTGTTACTGAATGATTTAATGCAAACTTCTCTCCTGGACATTTTTTTTTCTTTTTTTGAGATAGGATCTCACTCTGTCGCGCAGGTTGAGTGGCACAATCTCAGCCGACTGCAGCCTCCACCTCCCACGTTCAAGCGATTCTCCTGCCTCAGCTTCCAGGTAGCTGGGATTACAGGTGTCTGCCACCATGCCCGGCTAATTTTTTTGTATTTTTAGTATAATTGGCCTGCCCAGTTTTGAACTCCTGACCTCAAGTGATCCGCCCGCCTCAGCCTCCCAAAGTGCTAGAATTCCAGGTGTGAGCCACTGCACTGGGCCTGGAAATTTTTTTTAACTGAACCTAACATGCACAACACTTGAAAACTATTGAAGTTTATTCCAATTGCTATCATTTTACCTACCACTCACAGATATCTACTGAAGTTTAATTTCTGTGAGAAGTAATTCTTTGCTATCTTACTTGCCTTGCAAGGCAGTTGAGAAACAACCAGAAATCAGTTGGTAAACCATCAAAGTAGTTGCCAGGTCATTTTTCCACAATATTAAGGTGAAAATAACCATCTATGCCTCTATGTTCTTCTAATGTTCTAATCATTAAGATTTTCTAATCATGCTAATGCAGAAAATTAAAGCAATATACAAAAAAAAAAAAGAGAAAAAAAAAAAAAAAAAAAAGAGAGAGAGAGAGAGAGAATGAAAACAGTTCAAGGAACAGAGAAGCCAACCTGAAAGAGCTCCCAATGGCCAAAGCTGGAAATATTTGAGCAGCAAAATAACAGTACTAGATTATAACCAAAAGTATCAACTAAGTATACATATGTTCATACTAATATAAATAAATAATAGAATAAATACATAAATAGAGAAGGAACAAATCTTCCTTACAGAAGATGCCAACTTTTATATATATATGCATATATATAAAACCTTCACTAGGAAGTGAAGATTAATTCCTCTCCACCTTAGTGTGGGCTGGACTTACTAACTTGCTTCCAAAGAATACAGTATGGAGGCCAGGCACAGTGGCTCAATCCTAGCACTTTGGGAGGCTGAGGCAGATGGATCACGAGGTCAGGAGGTCGAGACCAGCCTGACCAACATGGTGAAACGCTGTCTCTCCTAAAAATTAGCCAGGCATGGTGGCACGCACCTGTAATCCCAGCTACTCAGGAGGCTGAGGCAGGAGAATCGCTTGAACCCACGAGGTGGAGGTTGCGGTGAGCCGAGTGCCACTGCACTGTAGCCTGGGCGACAAAGCAAGACTCCGTCTCAGAAGAAAAAAAAAAGAACACAGTATGGAAAGGGGAAATTAATAACTTTACAGTGGAGAAACTTGGCACACAATGCATTGACCAAATGATCAAGGTGAACATCACCTGCAATGTTGTGTTAATATCATGGGCACCCCCACACGAAATGATGTGATGAGGACACTTTACCCCTGTAATATCCTTTTCAAAACCCACAACCCTACTCTAATCATGGGGAAAGCATCAGAGAAACCGAATTAAAGAGCCTTCTACAAAATACCTGACCAGTACTCTTCAAAGCTGTCAAGGTTAGGAAAAGCAAGAAAGGACTCAGAAACTGTAACAGATCAGAAGAGACTAAGGAGACATAACAACTCAATGCAATATGGTATCCTGGATAGAATCCTGTAACAGAAAAGCACATTAGTGGGAAAACTGGTAAAATCTGAATAATGTCTGTAGTTTAGTTAACAGTAATACTTCAATGTTAATTTCTTAATTTTCACAAGTGTATCATGGTTAATGTAAGATGTTAACAAAATTGGGTAAAGGGCACATGGCAACTCTCCACTATCTCAGCAACTTTTCTGCAATCTAAAATTATTCTAAAATTAAAAGGTTCATTGCTGGGTGTAGTGGCTCACGCCTGTAATCCCAACACTTTGGGAGGCCAAGGTGGGCGGATCACCTGAGGTCAGGAGTTCAAGACCAGCCTAACCAACATGGAGAAACCCCATCTCTACTACAAATACAAAATTAGCCTGGCATTGTGGCACATGCCTGTAATCCCAGCTACTCGGGAGGCTGAGGCGGGAGAATCGCTTGAACCTGAGAGGCGGAGGTTTCAGTGAGCTGAGATCGCGCCACTGCACTCCAGCCTGGGCAACAAGAGTGAAACTCTGTCTCAAACAAACAAAAAAAAGTTGATTTAAAAAAGAAAGGACCAGACGCAGTGGCTCACACCTGTAATACCAGGACTTTGGGAGGCTGAGGCCACAGGATTGCTTGAGACCAGGAGTTCTGAGACCTGGGCAACATGGGAAGACCCTTCTCTACAAAAAAAAAAAAAAAAAAAAAAAAAATTAACTGGGCATGGTGGTATGCACCTGCAGTTCTATGCTACTCTGGAGGCCAAGGTGGGAGAATCACTTGAAGCCAGGATTTCGAGCTTACAATAAGCTATGATCATGCCACTGCACTCCAGCCTGACTGACAGAGTGAGACCCTGACTCTAAAAGGAAGGAAGGAAGGAAGGAAAGGAGAGAGGGAGGAAGGAAGGAAAAAATATGGAGGGAGGGAGGAAGGGAGGGAGGGAAGGAAGGAAGGAAGGAAGGAAGGAAGGAAGGAAGGAAGGAAGGAAGGAAGGAAGGAAGGAAGGAAGGAAATCCTAAAACATGCATAAATATACCTACAGATACAATGTATATTTGGTGGCTCAAGCCTGTAATCCCAGCACTTTGGAAGGCTAAGGCAGGTGGATCACCTGAGGTCAGGAGTTAAAGACCAGCCTGGCCAACACGGTGAAACCCCGTCTCTACTAAAAATACAAAAATTAGCCAGGTGTGGTGGCTGCCTGTAACCCCAGCCACTCAGAAGGCTGAGGCAGAATTGCTTGAACCCACGAGGCAGAGGTTGCAGTGAGCCGAGATTGTGCCACTGCCCTCCAGCCTGGGCAATAGGGCAAGACTTTGCCTCAAATAATTATAATAATAATAAATATATATATATGCATACAATCTTATATAAATGGGATTCATACAGTAAATGCTGCCTTTTGCCTTTTCAACAATATATAATGGAAATTGGCCAGGTGCAGTGGCTCATGCCTATAATCCCAGCACTTTGGTAGGCCAAGGCAGAAGGATCACTTGAAGCCAGGAGTTCAAGACTAGC